TATTTTCCCCCAAAGGCACCTAGAAGCTCCAACATTCCATTGTGAAAGTTAAAACTCTACAGTTCTCAAAAATGAATTAGGGTTATTATAACTTTCCATATAGTAGTACTAGAGACTTCAGAATATGACTCTTGCAAACATAGTGAATTTAACCCTTTTCCCATATGAAAAAAAAACAGGTATATGGGACATAGATATAATGCCAACATAAGGAAAAATTGTTGAACTAGTCAATCTGTCATCTATGATCTTTTAAAATAATAAATTTTAGTGATTATCACTTTACAAAAAAACCTATCACTGTAATTTACAAAAAAACAAGTAAAAGTATTATTTTTACATTTATCTGTGAAACCATTCCTGGACTTAAAAATACAAGAGGAAAAAAAAAAGATTTATCTATAAAGCTAATATATATTCATAGAGAAAAAACTCCAGGAATTAAGGGTATAATAAGAGGCATAAATATAACTAGAGAAATCCCAAATTCACAAAGACTAATAGTAAATAATTAAAGTGATAAAACCATTCATCAGTAAAGAGTATATTTTATGTAAAATACCATGTAAAATTATAATACCATTTCTAAGCTCACTCTGTATGACAGATAGTGCAAACATAAAAAGTACACTATACTAAGACATAATGACATAAAAAATGGAATGTCAAAGAAATGTGAAGCACTATGGTGAGATTACAAATTATTGTCAGGGAAGAAAATAGCATGTGTCATTCCATGTAAAGTGCCACATTTTAAAAATGTTTAAAGAAACCTATGCTTACTTACAGATCTTTAAATAGGTCAAGGGATACAGCATGAATACACAGTGAATTCTTAGTTCTACTTACTCATTACTCAGTCAGCCTCTACAACTGGCCTCCATATCTACTATACCTTTTAAAGCTGCTTTTTAGAAAATATCCTGGGTAATATCCTAATCAAACCACATCAACGTAGATCCTTTTCTCAGTCCTTACCACTCTGTTCTGAAGCAATGGACATTATTGACCATCCAGTCTTTAATGCAACTAGCCACATGCCAATTCTAGTCTTTCACTCCTACCTAACTTCTCTTTCAGTGTCAATGGGTCACTCCTCAAGATTCTTACCTTGGACAAATTTTCTTCTCTCTGACTCCAACCTAACTTGAAATATCATCTTAGGATATTTATGGATAACTTCCAGATCTCTATTCAAATCCTCTCTTAAAAGTTAAAATAACTGTTAAATATTTTTTACCTAGTTTCAGTCAGTCAACAAATGTTTACTGCATGGCTACTATGTGCCAGAAACTAATGTTAAAAATGTATTCAGGGGCGCCTGGGTGGCTCAGTCGTTAAGCATCTGCCTTCGGCTCAGGTCATGATCCCAGGTCCTGGGATCAAGCCCCGCATCGGGCTCCCTGCTCAGCGGGAAGCCTGCTTCTCCTTCTCCCACTCCCCCTGCTTGTGTTCTCTCTCTCGCTATGTCTCTCTGTGTCAAATAAATAAAATCTTTTTTAAAAAAATGTATTCAAAACCTAATGAGAGTCCCTGTCATCAATGAGCAGAGAATCTAAATGGCAAACTAAACAGTCCAACTCATCAGGTCCAAAATTGACTATTCATGTTTCCTCTTCCAATGGATTAAATATATATTAATAGTTCTGGATTCTCTTTATTGCCCAGGCAATACTATGTGTCTCCTTTCTCAACTATATTCAATTGGTTGGCCAGTAAATCCTGTTCTTTATTTGCAACATTCTATTCCCATTGCCACAGCCTAGTTCAGGATGGTAAATATTTTCATCCAAACTTCAACAACCATCCTCTCTATTTTCTCATCTAACCCATCCTTCACTCAATTAATGGATTAATTTTCCTAAACCACAGATGTGATCCATCACTTAACTACATAAAAATGTTTCATAGTCCCTCAATAGATAAGTCAAAGTCCAAAAACTTCTTCAACTTGGCATTTAAGGTCCTACATTATCTGGTCTTTACCTATATTTTTTCCTCTTTGTCACCCACTTTAACTTACCTTTTGCTCCAGCCAAACATGGCTTTTTAATCATATCCTGAAACTCCTTGAGTGTCCTCTATCTCTATATCGTCATTTGTGCCATTTTTCTCCTGCCAACCCCCATCCTGATTAACAGTCTCCATTCATTTCTACCTTTCAGAAGCTTAACCAACCTTTGGTTCAAATAACATCATTCTTCTAAAACCTTTTCTCCATGCCCTGAATTTATAATACATGTAAAAGTCTTTTATGTCACTTATACTTTATTTCTATTATAGCTATCTGTGTATGTATCATATCATTCCTATTAAGGTTATATGCAACTTGAAGTATGAATGTCTTACTCATCTCTGTCCTCCCACAATACATTGTACATGGTTGATACTCAATAAATATTAAGTATATTGAATTTATAATAAAATATATATTATAGCCATGGCCCATAAGACTATATAGGAAGTTTTCTTCACTTTCTTACAGAGAAAAATCACTGCCACATGAATATTTTTTTAAATCACCTTATTTATTTCTTGGAAAGACTTTAAAAAGTGATTTTTTTTCCTACCATCATCAGGGTACCCCTTATGTATATATTAATTGTTATAATTTCCTTGGCTCAGAATATGAAACTGCTTTCCAAGATTTCAATTTTACATTATTGCATGTACCTAGTGATCACACACTAAACCACCCTACCAAGGAAGACAGCAGTGCAGAAGGAAATGGTTTGCCTGGAGGCTATCCCAAAAACCATACCTCTGAGACAACACAACTTTCTTTCTTTCTTTTCTTCTTTCTTTCTTTCTTTCTTTCTTTCTTTCTTTCTTTCTATTTAGCAAGAAGAGTACTCATAGTATAATTATACTTCTCTGTTCCCAATTCCTCCAACCTCCATAATATCTACCAACCTGAATATTCAGAGCCCATACTTTCAGGTTCATAAATTGAAAATAACAGATAGGTTTTTAAGTTCAACAGTGAATTCACAAAGATTTATTGAATATCTACTATGTGGAAAGCACTGTGGGGTACACAAAAATTAATAAGACATAATTTACATATTCTGGAACTCATGACTAAGTGCACAAGACACACACATAAACCACTCCATTATAAGGCAGATTATGTAAGTGCCAAAAAGCCTCCAACAAGGTACAGAGTGCTATGAGGAGACTTATTTAAAGAGTATCTTAGAAGCTTCAAATGAGAGATGGGTTTCTACCTGACCATTGTTTGAAATCAAACAATAACATTCAAGATTTTGAAGATCAGTTATTTTTAAATAAATTTAAGTATTTTTATTCATAAGTATTGCAACAGAATTGAATTTTTTTCTACTGAAAAGATTCTGACTCAACATGTAAGTTAAAATTTTATTTAAATGGATTTCTTAGCTCACCTTGAAACATGGATAAATGTATTTTACAGGCCAAACTTGTGCCCTATAATTAAGGATAAAATTTTTGTATGTTCAAGGAAAATTCATGTGTCCAGTAATCTGAATTAATATTTATTTAAAATTCTACTCCCAGAGAAAAGCTAGGTAAATATGGGTCACTCAATTTTATATAAATTTGTTCAGCATACCAATAGTACATTAAAAAGGGGAAAAAAAACTGAACTGAAAATAAAATTCAGGGCCATAGATTCATTTTTCATTCATACCACCTCCTCCTGCAACACCAGCCTCTTCCCAATATATGGCCAAAGGTCTGAAACAGAGCTTGGAGCATCTGCTTTTCCAGTAAGCTCCATCGACACCATTTCTAGATTTAGATTACTTCCTTGAGGATTCTGAGTTACCATGACTGAACTCTAGACGTGTTGAGCACTGTATTGACAGATGAAAGAACCACATTCATTTTAGGCTTAAAATAACTTGCACGGAAGGGGTGGGAAAAGTCCGAGTTGACAGATGCCAATGGAGCAAATTCTAAAAAGAGGAAATTATGATAGGAGTGGAAGCAAACTTGTTACATGTAGAAGTATGGTATTCCAAATTGCTACTATTAAAAAAATTCGTCTTTTAATTACAGAACTCATCAGACGTTTTTGTAATTACTGAACTTAAGCAATACGTTATGAAAAAAAATTTGAGATAAATCATATGTAGTTTTAGAAAATACATTTGCTTTTAAATATCTCACCCAAAACAATTTCTTGAGATTAACCATACATACAAAGGAACTAAAATCAGATTATGTAGATTTAGGCAGGGGAAGCTGGGAAAGAATAACTAACATGTAAGTTCGGTAACACGTTACAGGGTGCGTTTCCTCCTACAGTAGACAGGCGAAGGAACCAAAAAAATGGGTTGAGCACAGGAATATTGCACATTGTAGTCACCCAACACTAACTCAACAGCTAGCGGTTCTATCCATCCTTCCTCACGTTCCTCGTGGCCTCTGACAAGTCATCCTTCCAACCTATGAGGCTGTCCGTTCTCCCCCATCAAAAATAATTTCCATGCAGATCGTACAATCGCCCTGACAAACTACTTGCTCGCACTTCCCCGCCTCGGGATGAACAGTCCCCAAGATGGGGAAAGGTCGCCCTGACACGGAAGTTACACGAAGTGGTCTCTCTCGCGGTCCGACCGAGACTCTACACCAGCAGACGCCGGGGAAAGGAAGAGGGTGGCCTCCGGAGAAACGGGGATGGGGCAGAGGATGCTAGCCCGCGAGGCAGCCTCCGCGGTGCCCGGGCACCGGCTCGGGCAGGAAGAATGGAGGAGGGGAGGCGCAGCAGCGAGGTGCCCGAGAGCCGGGCGGCGGTCTGATCCCGCGGCCCGACCCCACCCGGAGCTCGGGACCCTCCCAGACCCGGGACCGGCGTGCGTTCCGCGTGCGCCGCCTCTCCCCGGAGGAAGAGCCACTGTATTACACCCGTGGCTTTGAGAAATCCGGCAACTTTGCGCGAGAAATGCTTCCCACCCTGCAACACGCCGAGAAAGAGAAAAATGTCAGGCGATGACGGGGGAGGAAGGATGACTTACCCATGTTTCTCCCAGAGGATGAGGAGCCTGCAGGGCGAGGCGAAGGTCTCCGGTGCGGGCGGCGCGGCGCTGTGTCCTCCCTCTACCTCTGTCTCTCCCGCAGCCAGGGAGGGACCCGCGGGGGGCGGCCGCCGGGGAGGAGCAGCTGCTGCTGCTGCTGCTGCAGGCGGCGCG